CTGAAAGAGTTGGTGAAGGTCTTTATTCCTGTCAGAGACCTCATTCCTCAGTGTTAATACATTTTGTTAGCATCTTTACGAAGCAACCTGGTTGTCATCTCAGCTTAGAATGAAAAGGAGGTTCAGACCCTACTGATGGATTTCCCCATATATTATATCCTTGAGGAAAAGAGTTATCTCCTGGCTTTACCCTAAATTCTATCCCTACATTGGCAGGCTTTGCACAGAGAATAACTTTAAGACATCTTGCAGAAGGACAATTGTAGGAAATCAGCATTTCCCTGCCTAGAAGATCCAGCTGCTCTGAAGATGTGCAGCTGATGTTCTGTAGGAATTATTCCTTCTTCCAGTACTGAAGAGTTAGACAAACCTGATTCACTGGTTTGATTTGGAATTAAAGCAAAATCATATGCATCTCTTGAAAATGGAGTTTGGCACAGGTGAAAAAAATAAATAACTTTCTTCTTCTCAAGTGCGAATGCCTTATTCTAATAAAATTCTTTGTAGACAATGTTTATGGGAAATCTGATCCTGAAATATATCCATAATAAATATTGCTTTAATCCATCCTATCCATAATGTCAAGAGCTTTGTTCATTTTTCTATGAAAATGTAACAAAAATAGTGGTCATTCAAAGTACTTCTAAATCTCAGTGTTTTTATAATGTCTGATTACAGTTTGCAATAGATACTGATTTTGAAGAGTGTTTAACAAATGTGTTTAAGTCCTCTTTAATTACCTGGGCCCTTGTAGGCAAGGTGAATGACTTGAAGCCCGTGGAGATTATTTGTGGTTTTAGTTGTATTATCATAAACTTAGAACAAATTCCTTGATGTCAGTGGAACCATTTTGCTGCACAGAAGATCAGAGGTTGATTCGTTGCCTCAGCAGAAAACTTTTTCGCAGTCTAATGTGCATCGAGTGTAGCGAGAATCACTGGCAGCAGTGTTGACAATCCCTTGTAAGAATGGCTTTTGATTTAGCAGTACACAATATCTTCAATGTGTTTACCATCTTTATTAAATTAATTATTTATATTCTTGCATTCTTATCTGAAGCCTAATGTGTATAACTGTGGTGTTATGTTAACAGAGAGAGACAGAATGTCATGATAGACGAAATAAGAAAGAGGCTTCAGAAACAGAAGGAAAGTTAACTACAGATGACATTGTGGAATTTTTAGGTAGCCAAGCAGAAATCATTTTGGATTTAGTATACTTTCTTTCAGACAAAGACAAGACAGTTAAGCTCAATCATCCTACCACAGTTGTTTAGTAAATTGAATTTCTTGCCTTGTTTGCTACTCATTGAGTTAGTGAATCTCAACAAGTAAGACTTGCCAGAGGGTTTTAAAAAAATCAGTGATGGACCCTTGAGAAGTAAGTTTGTACACGTGAGGCACATTACAAATAACAACAGCAACAGTGGCAATTGATTAGGTCTGTACACAAGGAATTTAATTTATTTTATTATCTCGTAGTCTTTGTGGCTTAGATAATGTATTAGCTACTTACTGAGGGAGATTTAGGTACAAATTAATTTAAATAACAAGTAAAAATAAATGACATTTTAGCTTAGGTGATTGATCACGTTAAAGCTACACTTCGGGGTAACACAATACCTGCTCAGTCTTCTTCATAGCTAGTGGATGGTTTAACAGTGTAAGCCAACACCTGAGCGCTAGGAGGGGTCATTATTATTGCACAATCTGACCTCCTCCTTAACTTTGTAACTTCATCACTGACCTTGTACAGCTCTTTGAGCTTTGATATATCTTTGGGGAAAATGTATAGCCTTGACGTAAAGCCCTCAAGAGAGGGATGTGGCTTTAGGTTCATTGTTACAGTGAGAAATGCTCTTCGCTATTTGAACGTTGCCTTATTTCCCATCTGGATTTTGTACACTTTGGCTTTCATTTGCTCTACCTCATGAAGTGACTTTGGCAAGACTACAGAGCCTTATTTCTCAGGTTATTTCTCTATATATGTATTTGTAAATCAGAGTCAGTTCTCCTCTTAACTTTCTCTTCATTAAGTTAACTGAGCTGACCACTTCCCTATTACTATGTGATGGTGGCACGTGCATATATTAATCTTGTTTATCTTCTCACTCAGAGCACCGTGCACATGAGCTCATGCTAAACTTATACTCTTGAAGTGCATGCTAGAAACTGGCATACTGTATAGTGATCCCCCATTTACAGAGATTTTTGTAATCTACTCCCTAGTTGGTTGTTAAGTAGTTTGTTAAGCAATAAATAGATTTGTAGAATGCTAATGCTTAAGCTCAAACATCAATCAGCATTAACATATCCTGGCAAAACTAATGCTTCACTGGCCTGTATTCATTTTATGCCGAACTATTCAGTAGCGCTCGCTTCACAAGAGCTCCCTACCACCCTAAAATAACTTGCAAAGAAATGAGCAAAATATTCTCTGCCTTGCAGACCACGCGATTAAGTATTGATGAAGAATGTAGCTGTTGTTCTTATGTGTAATAATGTAACATTTTAGCAGTTAAAAAGTAACCCAAATCATCAGAAAACTCCGTAACATTTTTTGGAATCACATTGACCCATGTATACTGTTGGTCACTGAAGGAACTTTTTGTCCCAATGCATCTTTGAAAACATTTCTGCGTCTTTTAGTTCATAAATATTTCAGCCAGATTTCATTTGTTTATTGTACTATCCTTTAAACCATTTTTCTGTTTCCTTGGAAAGTACAAGAGGGGTAAAAGTTATCATGTTTTAATGAGCAGTATTATGTTGATAGCATCTTTCCCTCCCCCCCAGTATCACAGGCTCTTTCTCTCCCCTCTGCCCTTTGCTAGGGGGGTATCAGGACGTGCCATTTTTTTTTCCATTTCATCTCCGTAGTCCTGAGAGTTGATGGTAATCTTCAAAGGGGCTTCTGTAGTCTGGTGGCAGCCAAAAGACAAATCCTGATGATTTCCAATTTGTCTTGGGTTGCAGGCATTTGGGAGGAGTCTGCTTCAGAAACTCCAGCTTTTTCACTCACCCAAGTTCATATACAACATCAGACAAAATTAATACATTTTCATAGAATCAGAATTGTTAAGGTTGGAAAAGACCCTTAAGATCATCGAGTCCAACCATTAACCTATCACTGCCAAGTCTTCACTATACCATGTCCTCGAGCACCACGTCTATCCGTTCTTAAATACCCCCAGGGATGGAGACTCAACCACTTCCCTGGGCAGCCTGTGCCAATGCTTGACCACCCTTTCGCTGAAGAAGTTTTCCCTAATATCCAACCTAACCCTGCCCTGGCGCAGCTTGAGGCCATTTCCTCTCGTCCTATCACTTGTTACTGGGGAGAAGAGACCGACCCCCACCTCGCTACAGCCTCCTTTCAGGCAGCTGCAGAGAGCGATGAGGGCTCCCCTCAGCCTCCTCTTCTCCAGGCTGAACAACCCCAGCTCCCCCAGCCACTCCTCATAAGACTTGTGCTCCAGACCCTTCACCAACTTTGTTGCCTTTCTCTGGCCGCACTCCAGCACTTCGATGTCTTTCTTGTAGTGAGGGGCCCAACACTGAACACAGTACTCGAGGGGCGGCCTCACCAGTGCCAAGTACAGGGGCACTATCACCTCCCTGGTCCTTTTATTACGGCAAAGCAAAAAGTTCTATTCTAGAATGCAAAATTGGGAACAAGGTTACAAAAGACAAAAACTGCAAAGCTGCAATTGCAGTTGCAAAACTGCACCTCCAGCTCATTCCTAATGCTAAAGCTCCTCTCTAAGGCTGTCGTTTGACTTTAAGGAACGATCCACAGCAAAGCTGGCTTGCGGTATTGCTGCCTGAGGGAATGGGAATGGATAGCAATGAGAAGCAGCCATGCCTTTGGCCAGCGCGGCTGCCTAGGACTGCATAATGCCAAACCATACCTGGGCTAGTCACCTAAGGGAGTAGGAAACTTCCCTCTGCTTTGGCCCATTATTTTACAGTTTCGTAGGTAGAATCCATCTCATATTTTGTAAATTCATACATGAGCATCTTCATACAACTGGTCTTTCGAAGGGATTACGTATATCAGCAGTAAAGGGGGTAATCCTTGTACCAACATTACTCATTTATGGTATAATTTCAAGGAGTTACTGAGTAAGTATAACTAGGGTTTTGTTTTCCTAATGTTAGATATAAACAGTATTATATACTTTTGCCATTCATATTATCCACATATAGGTTGCAAATAGAATTTACTAGAGACTACATATATACCTTTGTTTTATACTTCTCCCAAAGTCAAAAAAATTGTGAAAGGGTTGCTGTTGCTAAGGATTACTCACTCTATAACAGTACTAATGCAGCCAGACTTTCCCCAAACCTTCTCCTTAGCATCATTCTCTATTGGAGTCCTCTTTGGAGCTCAGATTTGAGAGCTTCATAAGAGTCATTCTGTCTCTCCATAACTAGTGGTGATGGTGGTAGGAATTGACAACTTCAGAGTTAACTCAGCAAGACGTGCATACTAGTCGTTTAGCAAGATCATTGCTTTGTGAATAGATGAGAATAGCTAGTTCTCTCCAAGGGTATTTTGAACGTTTCTCCCATTAGTATGTACTTCTCCAGCACAAGAAAATTTTTAAGCACTTGGTAAAATAAACTCTTTTTTTGTAGCCGTTTTCATGGTTCAAAATAAATATTTTAAGAGTACCTTGATTACAGTAACTGCAGCTTGATTGTTTAAGGTTTTACATCTGTATTTGACTACCATGTAATGTACCAAAATGTAAAGTGCTCACATTTCACTTGCATGCCACTTAAAAGGAGATACCAGAGTTGAATCTCTTCAGGACCATTTAACCAAAGAAAGACTTAGACTTCCTAAAAATACCTACTGAGTATGCACCTAAGAGACCATGCTAATCCAGGTGTATGGGACGACCCAAGTTTAGGTCTGTTCAATTGATGGCTGCAGCCCAGTCAGGTGGGGAGGATGAACCTCATGGTGGGCTGTGTTTTCTCTCTCCCCAGGAATGCGACAAGGTAATGACATCGGCACACAGTATCGTTCGGCCATCTACACGTTTTCTCAGGAACAGATGGAAGCTGCCTTGAGATCTAAGGAAGAATATCAAAAGGTAACGTTGGGCAGGGCGTGGAATTACTTCACATATGAGTGGAGGTCAAAGACACCACCAGTTAGCACAAAATCACTTCTTGTGCTGTGCATTGTCTCCATGTTGCTCTTGGAGCTCCTCATTCCCATACTGAACTTGCATCATATTTGCTTTAAATTCCAACTTTTGTGAAATGTTTTTTTTTGTATGTGAGTCATTTTATAACTATGCAGAAAGAAAAATAGTTACTTGTGCAGAGACAGTTTTAATCTCTTCTAGAGATTCTTTTATGTCGGTGCACCAGAGCAAAAGTCTGTGGTCTATTCAAGCATATCTGGACCCCATACTCTGAAGGGTGCAGCCAAAATCTCAGATCTAGGAGTTCTTGAACTCCGGGGGAAAGTCCTGATCAATATTTGAGCTTGGTAACTCAGGATCACCGACCTGCTGCTTATAAGATGCTTCTATCAAGCCATTCCATAAATGTCTTTGATTAAATGTGGCAGCCTGTGGCTTAGTAGTGGTCTTGACAATGCAAGATCCAGATTCTACAGCAGGGGTATATGAATTCTTATAACTTATACGAAATAAGCTACTCACCTAGGACAGCAGGACAATAGGCAGAGTAACTATTAAGTAGTGCTAAAAGAATATCAGCTTTCATGCATTCACTTGTACTGTAACTTCACTAAGGAGTTATGTTCAAGAACCAGGGTTTGGGGTGAATGTCTAATGTTAAAGGTAAAGAACTGTGTTTTGAAGAGTGAGGGTGTATCAGTCAGAAGCATGTGCCAAGGTATAAAAAGGAGGTGCACGTGATGAAGTCCTGCGTGGAGTTTGGTTTTCCTAAATGTGCGTATGACATGGGTGGGCTGAGCGGCGTGCGCACTCGTAGGGCTGGTTGGTACATGCAGTTGGCGTTATTTTGCATGCAAAGAGGTGCTCTGAACTGCAAGTAACTAATTTGCAAGTCGTTCTTAGCAGTGTGATAACTGTGCATGTAAATTAAGTGTTCAATGACATATATATTTTCTCAGGAGTAGCTGAGCACATGGGGATAAGTCAGTCTTGCAGGTGTTTATCTTTGTTAACAGAGTGGTTTCTCAAGGTTTGGTATTCATATTTATCATGCAGAACTTCTTTCTACTCATTGTTTACCTTAGATCCATTTCTTTTCCAAATTGTTTTTGATTCTTTTTGTTAACATCTGCTGACCGGTCTCACACTGTAAATCTGACAGCTTTCAGTTTGCTTTCCCAACTCTATTATTCTCTGCTGTTATTTGTCATTAAATTAATACTGACTTGAAAGCAAAATTACGATGTAGAAGATTGCAATGTGATATTACAGAAATTTCCATCATCAAATAGATTTTCTTAATGGCACAATTTAAAATTTACCTACTTTGAAGTCTATCACCATTTGGAAAGTGTGTATAATTAGTACATTTATATAATTAGGCAGAACTCTGTAAGTGATCACATGTAGAGTTTGTTTTTTCACTGAAGTAAGGGGATGGAAGGGGCTGTGTTGCCAACTAAGGAAACACAGCAAATATGTGCTGAAATTCCTAGAGGATATTGCGGTTTCTATGTATTATCAACAACAATATCTACAATATTATCTACTGTGGCATTGCAGTAGCAGTAGAATGGTTGTATTGGAAGCATACCGAGCAAACAATATGTTCAGGAATCCCTTTTCATATTAAATGTTTTGCATTACATTATTTTAATGTAAATGTAATACAACCACTTTCCTTATTATTGCAGTAATTTAAAATAAATAGCAAGCTCTTCTGGCAGTGACCCATGCATATCTTTGCACCTGATAACAACAGATGAAAACATGTGGGGATGGCATAACGCTTGATTTTTCCATGGTAAGCAACGGTGCATACCCCAAAAAGGGGAAGGACAAACAAATCTTAAAAGTACAATAACTGCAACATGTAGGAGTGACTCTGCGGGATTTTGGCACAGCAAATGAATTAAAGCAAAGGTAGCTTATTTGCTTGTTGACTGAATAATTGAGCATGTGCTCTTAGATGTCTTTTTGAGCTGAGGACCTGGAAGAGAGTTAAGAGTGTCCTCCAAACAGAAAATTCCATGTTTGCTAGGTGGGCTTTTTATTTTTTTCATAAAGCCAGATATGATTGTTAACTTAAAGGAAACATTTTTGTTTGCTGAGGACAGAAACCATCCAGCCCCGAGGTTTATATCATGAATTCCTGCCTCCAAGACAGGCTAGCCTGGAGCGCTAGCTCCTCTCTAGTAGCCCGATAGCCACGTTCAGCTCTGTCCACGTTTAGCAAGCAGTACAGGCTGAGAGGAGCGGATCTGCAGAACAAAAGAGTTTGTATTGAGGACCCAGAACACATTACGTGTGTTTCAAGGGGTTTTCTTTTCAGTAGCTGTAGTTCGGTCCTCTGAACCACGTGCCACTAGCAGATGGAAGTCAGTGGTGCATTTCTGGTTTAGCTCCCTCGAAAGGAATTGGGTTCATTCATCCCAAGACCACTCTGTGAAGCGAACCAAAGCACGATAAGTGACAATGATCAGGAGATTTATTACAAAAGCGCACTTCTGCTCCAAACTGAAACATTAATGTAGCTTACACCTTTAGGGCAGTGCTATGCTTGAGTGGAGAAATACTGTAGTTAAGTGCACCACGTCCCTAGCTCCTACCAGCCTACGAGTGCGAATCATAATGCGCACTGAGCCCAAGTATCCTGCAGGGTTACATCTATTTTAAGTTGTGAAACTTGTTGCTGATTCATGCAGCTGTTTTAACAGCTGAGAAATGGCAATACAGCAATGAATATGCATTGAGGCATGCGTCTTTAGCTGTTGATGAAGCTGAATGCATACAGTCAGCGTCGGCTAGTGGTAATATATATTATAATACAATAGTGCTGCTGGTAAATTGTGACACAATGTAAGTGTAATCAGAAAAACATAAAATGAGGGCCAGGGCTTGGTGAAAGTACTGCGAATGAGCTGTTCCATCAGTTTTGCCTGAAGCTGAAGTTTTTTAATACAGTTGAACCTGAGGTTACTCAATTTTCAAGACAGTTGCTAGGCTGGATTTGGTTTTCAAATGAATTATCTAGGCAATAATCCAGATATAGTGAAATCAGGGTGGGAAGACGTTTGTATTTATTTTTTCTGAATCAGAGGCCTGCATGTGTTTTGTCAAGTGCTAACGCTGGGTTTTCAGGCTCCAAGAATATACTGAGTCCCTCCCCTCCATGTTTGCCTTATATTAAAGTAGCATCCCCCACATGCCAACATCTCTGCCTCCTCATGTAGGACAGCACTGACAATGAACATTGTGCACAGAGAGCAAAAGGCAGGTCTATTACTTTGTTACAAAAGCAAATATTTGGCAGGAGAAGATCCTTCCACAAAGCAACTACAGGGCCTCTCTGTGAATAATTATGAATGAACTGAGTCTCGAGCTCTTGGCAGAGGTGCTGGGTGATACGCAGGTAATGAGCTCCTGATTTGTTACAGCCGGGAGGAGTTGGTGGGGAGAGCTGCTGTCATTTGCTCTTACAGTTGTAATCTGGAGAGAGTTATAAGGGCTCAAAGAGACAGGAGTATAGAAATGTTCAGATTTTATGAAGACATTAAAAATGTGGCCTTTAGAAAAGTCCAGAGAACTGGAATGAAAGGTTTTTATACTGAACATATAGGAAATGTAGAGGAAGTACAGAAGTAACTTTTAAATTTTTTTTTTTTTTTTACTTAGAAATGGACTGAGCTTTGCTTATGATTTGGACTGTAAGGGTATAATCTTGGAAAGTTTCTCTGCAGGAGTAGGTTGTGATGCTGATAGAAATCCTCTCTGAAATCTAAACCGGCTGGTCAACAGATTGAGAAAACAAATCAAATAAAACAATAACTGCACCAAAGCCAGAGTTACAAAAAAAAAAAAGAAAGAAGCAATGCTAATTTTTTGCATTGGGGCCTGCAAATATGTTTAAGAAGTTCAAAAAGTATTGTAAGTAGAGGTGAAGAGATTAAATTTAAAAATTAAAATTTAGTATAAATATAAAGCATCCAGGCAATTGAAACTAACCCATTGCCCAATCTGTTAGTCTGGAGAAGAGTCTCTTTGTGGAAATGTCAGGACCTATAAAACCGTAGGTGGGTAGACTTTGTGGAGATCTTGAAGGGAACGGTATATGATGCTCAGAGGAGAGACTGGATCACGCTGCAGCCATAGCAAATATGTTTCTGTGAAGGTCTGAAGAAGATGCTCATTTTAAATGACTGAAACTACCTTTGGCTTGGTCAAATAGTCATTTTTCATTGCATTTCGTCAAACAGCATTTTCTGTTAATGTAATAGAGCATTTGGCCTGAAGAACATGAATTTGACCAAACGTAAAATTTCTTTTTGAATCAAGCAACCGAAGGATTAATATGCTGGACTAAATTCCCTGTTGGTGTAACTCCACAAGAGCTAATATATTTGTACAAGAAGTTAGTTTTACCCATATACTTTATTGCATGTGTGCTCACATGCAGCTGAGAAGGGAATCCTTCAACTGATAACTTCAAAAGTAGTGTTTGGTTTCTACAGATGTAGGTATTGGAGCATCTGAACCTGAAGCACCATTGGTTTTCCTCTGTCTGTGCTTCTGTTTTTTTGTTCTGCATGAGTTTTACAGTGATAGGTCTTTTTAGGGGGATGGTGGAGTGGGGTGTTTGGTTTGGTTTTGGTTTGATTATTTTTTTTTTTAACTTTTAAAGCCCTGAACAGTTACGTGATAAATCATGGATGACCATGGGAAGAATGGGGATTAATATTATTTTACACAGTTGTGGTTTTACAGTGCTATCTTTCATTTGCAATGGCCAAATTTCAGTGTGGCTACAGTTATGTGATAGCACTACTGATCCTGAACTTGCTCACAGAAGGTCTGGGAACACATTGAATTAACACTGAGATTGGCTTTGGTAGTTTTCATGAGCCTCCTCTGTGGTGGGACAGTCGGATACCACGTCTTAGCTG